TTTGAAGCAATAACGGATGAAATGGCAGTTGTGATACCCACTATTTTTCCTCATGGACCATTTACTTACTCCCCCAAAGTAGCTTACACCCTAGAAATGTACGTCAAGGTGAAGCAGTGTCATTTTAACTTAATCTTATTTGGTGTGCGAGATCAGATGTATGGGCAAAAGACTGAGACAGTCTTTCAAGTACCATAAAATGGACTTTTTTTTTTTTTTAACCCTCTCTTCTTACAATGGAGGGTCCTACAGTAAAGGCAGCAGAGTATATAAAGCAGAGTATATAAAGTATATAAAGCATGGCCCTCAATTTAAAATCTAGGGAGATTTAATTATCTCTAATGCTACATGTTTAAGTCTTAAGTTTGCCATATGGTTCACATGCCCAAAATTAAATGTAATTTTTTAGTTTCCACGTTTGCTTTTTAAAATTTGCAAGCCTAGGATATTAACATGAAGTCTTAAGGCAATAAAATCATCACAAAAACTTAGATGCCATCAGCAGAATGAATGTTTTTACTTATTAGTAGGGCAATAATAATCCTGGTAAGCAACCCGTCAAATTCAAACAAAGTTAGCCCACAAATGGATGTCCTCCATTTCCATTCTTTTTGCAACAATAAAATCAAGTAGATGTAATTGTTACTGCTATAAATATAGTAATATTTCCACCCCCCACAATTGTGAAAGGACAGGGATAATTAACAGTGCAGAAAGGATGTTTTTGGCATTTCTTAATGTATAAAATCCCATATTACAGTAGTGTGTGTTTTAATGACATTATGCATTTAAAATCTGGGTCAGTCACTTTTCGTCTGTGATGTATTTCTGCATAACAGCATCTGAGAATATGTGGACACATGTCTTCTGTAAAAATCATTAAACCCAGAAAAAAATGACTCAGATTTTACTTACATTTAAAGAAATAAAATGACTAACAAATGAGAGAAGAGCCAAGAATAAATCATTTACAGCCTAAAAATTCAACATTTCAAGACTTCTAACAAAATAGTTTAATACAGTTGACACAAACTGGATCTCAGAAATCACCCTTGATCTAAACAGAGACTGTTTTATAATTTAAATGATTTACCTTTATGACTACACCTAAGCTATAAAAATCCCAATAGGTTTTATTTCTTTTGTGACTATGTCATGATCAAGCTTTGGTTATAAAATATGGGAGTTGAGATATACCTCCTTAGCACTCAGGAAAATGGTGCCCAGAAGTTAAAGTGTTATTTTATTTCTGCTAACCTGACAACAGAACCTAAAATGCAAAAATTTAAATCCTCTAAAGCAAAAAATACAAATACACACACAATAACCCCAATAAGTCTATTCGTCAAGATTTATAAAAGGAATTTTCTTCAGCAGTTAATCAGAGTTCATTAATCTACATCTGTAAATATGTCCTGCCAAAATGTTTTGGTACTGAGATGCCTTTCAAACCACTTTAATGCAAGGGCTAAAGGAAAAGTTCAAAAGAGGAACAGAATAAGGACCCTGTGAACCTGTCCACGTTCCTTTGTGAAGGCTGAAAGACGTGGAAGGCCAAGTGGAGATCCATTGTGAAGTCTCTGCTGTGTTCCTCCAGGGTCTGTCAGAGGTATGTTCCCTGGGATCCAGACAGGGTGTGAATTGCATGGCAGCCCACGGCCATAATTCAATGTGATAAATTCATGAAGCGAAGAGGGCTGGGACAGTCAGGGAAATGATACTCCTTATAGCACACATATGCGAATGTGATATTGCAGAAATCCGAGACGATTTCCCCCAAACCCTCCAGGACAGTCATCCAAATAGGAGACCTCTGCATCCTGTCACTCCTCCAGGAGTAAGCACACCTCTCTTCGCTACCGTGTTACCTAAAACAAATTAAATAAGTGAGTGAGCATTCAGAATCTCATCCCCGCCCCCCCAGGACAGTCTTTCTGCTTTACCGGCCCTGGAAGTCCCGAGCAGCGTTTAGCAGTTTGTCCCTTTATCTGTAACCAACTTCACCAAATCAACTGTTCAAATCAAATTCTTCACAGTTCTTGCTTCCAGGTTGCAAAAAAAAAAAAAGTACAAAGGCTTGCACAACATGGTATTATGCACCTTAGCTTGGTATTTTGTCGATTTACACAAAACCCATCAGATTCGGTACATTCATTGCCCAGAGAGTTAATGCAGGCCTGCTGAGCATGCTTTCTTAAAGGCATTGAAATTCTTTTCAAATGAATGCCAATTAAGATCAGTGTATGTCGATATTAAATGTTACATTTGTTACTTTTTAATGTAGTAACTTTTATATATTTTTTTATTTTTTTTAAGATTTTATTTACTTGAGAGGGAGACCACGAGCAGGGGCAGCGGGAGAGGGAGGAGCAGGCTCCCCACGGATCAGGGTAGGACCCTGGGATCATGACCAGAGCCAAAGGCAGCCACTTAACTGACTGAGCCACCCAGGCACCACCCACCCCCCTTTTTAATGTAGTTAACTTTTTAAAAATAAGTTACTTTGGGGACACCTGGGTGGCTCAGTTGCTTGAACGTCTGACTACTGAGTTCAGTTGCGGTGGTGATCTCCAGGAGATCGAGCCCCATATCAGGCTCCACGCTCAGTGGGGAATCTGCTTGAAGTTCTCTTTCCCTCTCCCTCTGACTCTCCCCCAACTCTCTCTCGTGCATGCATGCTCTCTCAAATAAATAAATCTTTAACAACAACAACAACAAAAAAATACATTCTTTTGGAAAACTGCCATAATTGCCAGAAACAGACATTAATTAAGTTTACTGTTGTTTCCTCTATTTTTTATTATTCATAAGAAAATAAATTAGCAGTTTATTTTATTTGGTCAGGTAAGGTGCACGGTATTTTACAGGTTAGATAACCCATATACAACCTGGGGCGGGGGTGTAGGAACCCAAAAGCTTAAGATTTTAACAGGCCTACAACATGAACATACATTACTTGATGACACAGTCATCACTCCTGGCCTTTGGACCCAATCAAAGTATTTATTCAAACCTCAGATTTGCTGTTAATTGACATATGGCCTTTATTTTATATATTCTACAATACAGTTGCTCTTTTGTTTGTGAGGAGACTACTCTAGCAAACCCAAGAAAAACACAGTCCTCATGGAGCTTATAGAACAAGTATGCTAGCCCTAGTCTAGGTAAAGGACCACACAGAAATTCGTTCATCTTTGCAGGCCACAGTCTCTGCCACAACCACTCAATTCAGCCTTTATAGCACAAAAGGAACACAGACAATACAGCATGTCAATTAATGGGTATTGTTTTGTTCCAGTAAAACTCTAATTGTAGTCACTGAAATTGGGATTTCATGTAATTTTCATGTTATGAAACACTTTTTTAAAGGCTTCCAAGCCTTTAAAAGCATAGAGCCCATTCTTAGCTCACAGACCACAAAATATAGGCCACGGGCTGGGTGTGGCTTGCAAGCCGTAGCTTGGGGACTCTGACTGTAGAAAAAAGAGTTAGACCAACAGGCAACGGAATGACATGCCAGCAAGAGATAGGTGCTATGGACAAAAGGATACTAAGGCCAGAAGGGCAGGGCTCTATGGATTTCTAGAGGATTGTCATGTGAGGAGCTGCTTGAAGGAGGCAGGGGAGCCCTGAGTACCTGGGAGGAGAACTTTGGCCTTTTCCTCCACTGAGGCACAAAGAGGAGACCAGGGAGGCATGGCCAGAAGGTCAACTTAAAGGGGGATCGCTTTGGCAGAAGTGATGAAAGTTGAGGCCCACAGGACTTGTGAAAAAGAGGACAAAGGACATGAGAGGAGGAGGATTCAAACAAGTTCTTGATCTCAAATACTACGGTAATGGAGATGGTAATTTTCTGAGATGGCGAGGACTGTCATTGCTTTAGCTTCTTCGACTCCTAAACATTCATTCGATTAGCACCTGCTCCTTTCAGCTGTAATGCAGAGTGAGCGTGACGTGAATGGCATGGCCCGGGGCTTTGGTGTGTAGCTACACTCAGGAAAGCAAGGATCTCGTCCGTTAGCTCTTCCGGGATCTACCGTGTGCATCTACCGTGGGCATCTACATATGTAAGTCAACAGCGTTCCCAGCCAGGTATCAGCCTGTATCAGCCTGAGATATAATTCTCAACAGCATCTTATTTAAGGAAGCTTACTTTACATGACCAGCTCATTTTGGAGTTGATCCCTATTAAAGTTTAATGGTAAGATTCTCTAGGATTGGGGCGCCTGGGTGGCTCAGTGGGTTAAAGCCTCTGCCTTCGGCTCAGGTCATGATCCCAGGGTCCTGGGATCGAGCCCCACATCGGGCTCTCTGCTCCTCGGAAAGCCTGCTTTCTCCTCTCTGTCTCTGCCTGCTTGTGATCTCTGCCAGGTAAATAGATTTAAAAAATCTTAAAAAAAAAAAAAAAGATTCTCTAGGATTTACTTTCCTGTCAACATTTCATTTTGCTAACTGTATATGAAAGGCTCATTGACGCTTTGGAATCTGGTGGACGGAAGGTTGCTATTGTGCCAAGACTAGCTCCGCTCTCACGTGACAGGGGACTGGGAGTTATTTGAGGCTCTAACTCTACGGATCAGGAACGACAAGACTTCTGGGTAAAGGATTCATCTCAGTTGGACCTTGAAAGACAAGGAGAATTTTAGAAAAGGGACTAGATGAAGAAGGCAGCAGTAGGATATGGAAATACATGCTCTATTGGGTGAGTCATCTTGATGGCTCATTTCAAGGTGCTTATACTCTTTTCTGTTACCCGTGGGAATCCACTGGTGGTCTCTCACCAGGGAGAAACCTGGGCAGGGAAATTACCCCAGAAGCACAGAAAACAGTATAAAGGCAGGAACAGAGCAGGTACAGAGCCTGGTTAAACGAGAATCAACGTTAAGAACAACTTCTTGAGAATGGTTCGCTAAACCCCATCTCAGACTTACTAGACCAGAAAATCCTAGGGGTAGGGCTCACAAGGGTGGGTACATGTTCCCACGGTAAGTTTCCTGCAGCGATTGTTACCATTAAATAATTAGAATACTGGGACACAAGAGAATGAGGATGATCCTTGGTGGTATCCTAAGAAACGGGGAAAGTTACGAATTAGAGGACGTTCTGAGGCAGATACCAGAAGGACTGGGTCATCTTAGATCTTGAGGGTGTTGCAAAGATAACCTGTTGTTTACATTAACTCTTATCTCTGGTTTTCTATTACGCAGTATTAGAGACATGTAGATACTAAGTGGAACCTTTGAAGGGCTACATGAAGAGAATATAATAAGATGCTTGCAAAGAGCTCCCCCTCCAAAAAAAAAAAAAAAACTCTAAAGCAGATTTTTTTTTTTTTTTAACCTCAACATTATTTACATTTGGAGCCAGATAATTCGTTGCTATAGGGTGGGGGGATCTACTCTGCTTTTTAAGATTTTTAGCACCCTGTCTGGCCTCTCCCCCTCAAGATGCCCACATTAACTCCCCTGGCAAGGAAAAACATCCCCTTGATGGAAAAATTACTCCGGTTGAGAACTCTTGCTCCTAAGACATAGCTCTTCACTGTCAGATGTTGGAAAAATAAAAACAGGACAAATCTAAAATTTCTTGACATTCACTATGATTTCCTTCCATTTTCAAACAAAAAAGAGCCCTGACCCGTGGTTCACTTTGGCACTAGAACAGTGTCGTGCAGTTGCTGAGAGCGTTAATGCAAACGATGCCGACGTAAAGGGAAACTGAGGCAGGGTGACAGTGACAGCTGTAGCTCTGCGCAAGAACTAGCAGCTGAATTTCTCTCTGGAAACACTGAAAACTGTAGAGGCAGGGTGAACTCACACGCCACCCTTTTACATCTGGAAAAGACAGGATGACTGGCTAGGAAACTGATCTCCTCGTTGTCATATCTTCATCCAAGTCTGTTAATATCTTGACTTGACTGTTTACTCTTTTCATATTTGCATTTAAATGGAAAATACAATTCTGACCTAAGTGGCTTACTGCAGGATTATCTTTTTTTTTAAGCGTTTCTATGTTTTGTTGCTGCTGTGCATGAATTATATAAGCAAAATGAAAACTGTTGTATAGTTTATCCCCCTCGAGGGCTGCAATGGTTTTACCTCTGTAAGACCTCTGTCGCACTTGTGGTGTATGGTTGGTGTCTATTTTAAGAAAAAGACACGGCTTCTGAGGGTACTAGGCTCTTCCCGGAAGCCAGTGACACCTCCACAATTGAATTTACTCTATGTTCCTAAGATCCATAAAAGACATAAAATGTTTGATGCAGTTCAAGTCAAAAGGACTTGGATTAATAAAGGAAACAAAGTTTTACTACTTCAAGATTATTCTCAAGTGGCATATCACCAAAAAAAAAAAAAAAAAGAAGAAGAAGAAGAAAAAGAAAGAAAAAACCTAAGTATCATTATGGCTTAGGGAACTGTATTGTGTTTCTACAACTTTTAGAAGTGCCAAATGAAATGTCACTACCGTTGAGGATTTAGCTAGAGCAAACTTATATTCCCAGCACACAGAGCCAAAATGCCCCTAAAGGTTTGCTTCCTGCAAATGCTCTCTAACTGCACATAAATAGAGAGGGAGCCGCTCCAGCAAGAGACCACTTAGACACATTCTTTTCCGGAACACAGTTGGCTTGTGCTCATGGTCTTGTTTTATATTTATATAGAAAAATCAATACAAGTATAATCTTCCAAACATCATTTCTTAGTCTACAAGCCATAGGATAAATGGAAATTTTTATCTCTGATGGATGTAAGGCCCCAGCTCATTGGCAGCTCCAAGATTTTTATTCAGGAAGGGGATGGGGGAAAAAAATGGGGCGGAAAGGGCCCCGTGGGGAAAGGAGAGTGGAATTACTTTAAGGCAGGGTTTGCTTAGCAAGCACACTTGGGTTTCCATAGTTTGGAAGTTAATTTGGAGTAGCTTAGAAATGGGCTTGATAGAAATGATGGGAATGTTAACCTCCCTCCTCCACCAACAGAGGACTCCACGGACTTCCACAGCTCTGGCTGTAAGAGCATATACAGGCACGCCTCAGACCTACTGCAGGTTTGGGTCCAGACCACCCCAGTAAAGCAGGTACTGCCATAAAGCAAATATCACAATAAGGCATGCTAAATTAATTTTTTTGTTTCCCAGTGCCTATAATAGTTTTGTTTACACTGTGCTATCCTGTTAAGTGTGCAAGAACATTTTGGCTTAAAAAAAAATGTACACGTCTTAATATAAAAATACTTTGTGGGGAAAACAAAAATGCTAACCCTCATCAGAGCTTGCCTCCAGTCATAATCTTTTTCCCGGTAGAGGTCTTGCCTCGATGTTGATGGCTGCGGACGAATCAGAGCGGCGGTGGCTGAAGCCTGGGCTGGCGGTGGCCATTTCTTTTCACAAGACCATCTGGCCTGTCATGCTGACTCTTCCTTTCAGGAACGTTCTCTCTCTCGCAGCCCATACTGTTGCTAGCATTTTACTCACAGAACTTCTTTCAAAATGGGAGCCAGTCCTCTCCAGCCCTGCTGCTGCTCGTCAACTAAGTGGAGGTAATAGTCTCAGTCCTTGGTTGTCATGTCAACCATCTTCAGAGCATCTTCACCAGGAGGAGCTGCATCGCCAGAACCCATTTCTTTGCTTGTCCATAAGAAGCACTTCGTCATCTCTTAAGTTTCTCATGAGAGTGCAGCACGTTCGTCCCATGTTCAGGCTCCTCTTCCAATTCTAGTTTTCTTGCTATTTCCACCACATCCCCAGTGGCTTCCTCCCCTGAAGTCTTGAACCCCTCAGTGTTGTCCATGAGTGTTAAAATCAACTTCTTCCAAAGGCCTGTTAAGAATGAGGCCTCTAGAATGCCCAGATTCATCTGGGGGAGTTGTAGCCTTATTAAATGTGCTTTTAAAATAATAAGAAAGTCAAAATGACATCCATTCTGCAGCCTGTGGATCAAGGAGTCATGTTAGCAGCCATGAACACATTAATCAATATTCCTCTCCATCAGAGCTCTTGGGTGACAAGGTCCATTGTCCCTGAATGGTAATATTTGGAAAAGAATGTTTTTATAAGCAGTAAGTCTCAATGGTGGGGTTTAAATAGTCAGTAAACCAAGCAGTAAACAGATAACACTGACATTTGGGCTTTGTCCCACTTCTAGAGCACAGAGTAGGTTTAGTCTAATTCTTAAGGACTCTGGGATTTTTGAAATGGTAAATGAGCTTGTCTGCAGCCTAAGGTCACCAGGTGCATTAGCCCCTGACAAGAGTCTAACTATCCTTCGAAGCTTTGATGCCTGGTATTGACTTCTCCTCTCTAGCTATGAAAGTCATGAATGGCGTCTTCTTCCCATAGGAGGCTGTGTTGTCTACAATGAAAATCTGTTGTATGGAGTGGCCGCCTTCTTTATTTAAGCTGGAACTTCTGGAGAACTTGCTGCAGCTCCCACATCAGTACCTGGAGCTTCACCTTGCTCTTGTATGTTATGGACATAGCTGCTTTGGTAAACCTCATGCACCAACCTCAGCTAGCTTCCAACTTTTCCTCTGTACCTTTATAGAATTCAAGAGACCTAGGGCCATACTCTGGCTCGGGCTTTGGTTTAAAGGAACGTTGTGACTGCACTGATCTTTTATCCAGACCACTCAAACTTTCTCCATATGGGTAATAAGGCTGTTTCCCTTTCTTTTCATTTGTGTGTTCACTGGAGTACTTTTTAAAATTTCCTTGGTGGGCTTTTCCTTTGCGTTCCCAGCTTGGCTATCTGTTTGGTCTGAGAGGCCTAGATTTTGGTCTATCTTGACTTTTGACAAGGTTTTCTGACTAAGCTTAATCATTTCTAGCTTCTGACCTAAGGTGAGAAACATGTGATTCTTCCTTTCACTTGAATGCTGAGAGGTGCGTGTAGATTTATTAGCTGGCCTGATTGCAGTATTGTTGTATCTCAGGGAACAAGAGGCCCCAGGAGAGGAAGAGAGATAGGGGAACAGAACATACACATGTGCAGACTAAGTTTGCCATCTCACAGGGCTGCCACCTGAAAATTATAATGGTACCATCAAAGATTGTGGATAACCCTAACAAGTAATGAAAAGATTTGAAATATTGCAAGAATCACCAAAAGGTGACACAGAAACACAAACTGAGCCAATGCAAATGATGCTAATAGACTTGGTTGATACAGGGGTGCCACAAACCTTCAGGTTGCAAAAACAAAAACAAAACAGTCTATGCAAAGCACGATAAAATGAGATATGCCTGCATCACGTCATTTAGCCTAGATCATCTTTATATCAATTATGAGAAGTTTGCAATTAATGTTACATAGTTTTGAGTTTGAAATTGTGATTTTAACCAGCTACAGAAATAATCGTCTGACTTACTGTACTACTGATAATTTTGTATTTGATGTCAGCTGAAATTGATATTTACAGCTTTCTGTAAAATGCTACCATTTGTTCTAAATATCATCTTTCACTATGGGACTATCAAGGTCACTGCAAACATGGGCCCTGACCTCACAGGTCTCTTCTAAAAAGAAAGCTCTAGGTGCTAAGCACCTCAGGACACCCTGCCATGTAAAGCAGAACCACAGTAAATGCTCAGAGATACACAAGACATGAATCCAATCAGTGAACGACTCTGAAGAAATAATGGTAATAATGGTGAAGGAGAAAAGAAAGCCGGGAAGCACATTCCATGAAAAAAACACCTTCCTCGGCAACCTCAAAGGCACCATGGTAAGAGGCACCAACAGAAGGCTGAAACAACAAAAAATAAATAACCCAGCAAGCCACCTCCCTTCGTTAAGTGCCAGACAGACAAGGCTAGTGGAGCGAGACAAGACAGACTAGCTTAGAAGATCTCCATTTCACAAAATGCTGGGAGTCATCGTGTGGAGGTGTGGAGAATGAGGCAACTCAGTCCTCCAGATGAGAGACAGTGGGGACAGGACCCCCGTTGTAAGGACAGTGACACAAGGAGGGAGTTGGGAGGTACAGTTCCAAAGACCCATAAGAGTGGACATGGGGACATAAGGCAGAGAGATGTCTGGCTTAAGAAGTGGGTGGACAGCGGCACCCTTCTGAGACAGGGAGGTTTGGACAGAGGCTAAGTGGGGAAGGCAGCTCTTGACTTATGACACCTCAAGTTCAAGTCTTCGACTCTTAAAACTCCTCCCAGGAAGCATCCCTACCTCAGCAAGTCATCTGTGTGTGGGACCTTGCCGTGCCATTCTGATATGCCGGCCTGGCAACTCCAGTCCCTTCCCTTTCAATGAGGCTCTTGAAGGAGCTGCAGTGAATTTCATGGCCCTGCCTGAAATAAGAAGTTGATCCCCCAGATCACTGCTCTGTAAAAGCTGACATAAAGGGCAATGCTCGGAAATGGGCTTTTCAAAAGGCTAAAGTAAGAGGGTAGGCCCCTGTCCATGTGGGTTTATCAACATAAAACAAGGTCAAGGTCATGGTGCCAGGAGCAAAGGAAGGGGGGGGGGGGATCGCATGGTTAATAACCTGAGGAAGCTCTAAAGGAGAATTCTGTGTGTCTATACTTGCCTTTGTCGTTTTGACTTTATTGCCACTGCTACAGGACCAGCCTGAGTAATCTGGAAGCACTTTACAGTCCTCTCCTTCCAAGCAAGGATTCATATGACACCACCATTTCTGAATCACGATGGAAGCTGTAAGACAAAGGCCACAGAGTGTTTGTGATACCATTGCTTCCTCCAGCTACGGACAACATAGTGCTCATTCAGATCAATATACTGACTTCAAAGATGGTTAATAAGAACTATTTCACCCTAAGTAAATTTAAAGAATGCCTTCTGCCATATGCTCTAGAAAAGACTAAGGTGCCAAGCTTTAGCATGTCTAGATTGAACTTGGCTGTGCCTTTTTTTCTCCCAATGATTTCTGACTAGTTATTTAACTCCTTTTGGCCTCAGTTTTCTCATCTGTAAATTGGGGATAAAAACAGATCCTCACCACAGAGGTCAAGAGGAGAAAGCTAATCCCTATCAAATTTCTAGGCTAACCAGAGGCCAGGTACTAGGTTGCCAGAAAATGTTAGCTATTGCTGGGGTCATCATTTTGGAGGCTCCAATGGTGAATGCCAACCTGGGCAAGTTCTTACATTTGATGCCCTCTGTTGCCAGGGGCAGACACAAAGCAGTCAACATTTTCGTCACAGAGGCGTTCATCTCCCCATGGTGGTGGTGAGTAACCCCATGAAATCAAGTTCCAGCAAGTGGTGAGTAACCCCGTGAAATCAACAACTAGAAACCAGGTGCAGGAGAAGAGCATGGCACTCCCTCACTTGCCCACAGTCTAGGCTTGGGCGATCGCACCTATGACTTCCCTTTCCACCTTATCCCATCATCTCTGCTGCCATCTGCCAGCTAAGACGAAGGAGCGGAAAATTCTCTGGGTTGGGAGGCAGATGAAGACACATTAAAGAAACACTATCAACTTGTCTGGGTATTCCCACAGAGTCCAAGGACAAAAGGGATTGTGACTCATCATTTATGGTGAGCCCAGCTAGTGGGCTGGTGTAGGTCAGAGATCTGGGGCTGCAGGTAGGGTATATGGGTTAAGGGGAAGAGGCATTGAGCCCTGTTTTTCTGTTGAAATAACTGCACTTTGGTTAAAAATAATAATAATAATAATAATACCCCCCAAGGATTCAACCCCAGCTACCATGGCCTGGAAAGGGAAACTCAATTTCAAGCAAATCTTGAGAATTCCTAATAGCTATTTTTTTCTTGAGAGTCAGGCACCCTGCTAAATGTAGTTCCTACATTTGATAGAGGAGAGAAAACTGAGGCCCTTTGACAGAGGCATTTTAACACTAGCGCCCCTTCATCGACCTTTAAATTCACACCCCTCCCTCACACCAGCCATCTGTAGGAGAAACAACCAGAGGTGTAGCAGGCAGTGACGAAGACAGGGGACAAAGCAAGCTCCTGCATTAAAGACTCTGCTCCTGTTAGGCCAAGTGGGTAGACATTGTGCCTACTCCCCATGAGAACCCCCCCATTCCTGATTCTGGCCGAACACTGTGCTTACTATCTGATTATAGTCCCATCAAAACCAGTAACACCTCGATTAGGCAGAATTATGACCTAGAAGGATCATAAGCTATTTAAGGCAAAAGGTGTCAACACTGAGAGAGGAATATAGCTAAATGGGTTACTTATTCTGTCAGGGTGCCACTGAACTTGAGTGGATGGATGGAGACCGAGGGGCGAAGTCTGAGAAAGCTGTATTCTTTTCAGTCACTGGTATCACAACAATCCCACCGCAACGCTGGACGGAGCTTTGTTATTTTCAAAGCTTTTTGTTATTTTCCTTTTACATACTGTTCCTCTTTTGATTATCTCAACAACCTTCAGAAGCAGGAAGAGGAGGCAGATGGCCAGAAATAAAAACGAGAGCTTTCCACCAAGTGAGTAAACGGAGGGAGGAGGTACTAGATTCTAGACTTCTTCCTCTGCCCCTACAAGGCTTCCTGTTGTACCACAACGTATAAAAATAGTTTAGATTAACATATGCTACATAGAGTTTGACCAGATTCAAAGTGCTGACCAGTCCTTCATTATCTTCTGAATACCTCAGGCCGATCCCAAGTAGATACAAAGATAAATAAGAGATGGTTCCCAACCCTCAATGTAAAATTCCATCTGCAGGACTGCGAAAGTTATATAAATGTTGACAGAGCTTAGTTATATTTACACAGAGTTACAGCTGAATTTAAAATACTTTTTTTTTTTTAATCTTTAAAATAGTTCCCTCAGGTAGCTTCTCTGCCACTCAGCAGTGGGCACCTATGGACTCCTGACGCGGCCCACGGCAACATGGAGGATTCCACAGAAGCCCAGGGAGCTGAGGGGTCACCTGCCCCAGTGAAGGGGACAGGGAGTGGCCGACGTGGAAGCCAGAAGACCCAGATGAGCAAGGTAGTCTGAGAAGCAACCTTCAGCGGTTCTCAATGCCCATTCCAGGTTAGACTTGAATCCCCAAGCTGTAGGGAGCCATGGAAAGTTTCTGGACAAGGGGGTACAATAAGGCAGGGAGAACTGTGTGCCTGGGCGAGCTAGTCTAGCAGGGGATGGTAAACAGTTTGGGGCAAAAAGGAGTCTGAAAGAGACCACTTGAGGTGTAAGGTGAGAAATCTGGGACTAAATTCCCTACAGAGGACATCATCTGATCCATTCTATGTCAACGTCCCAGCAAGAGAAATGCTAGTACTTTCTTCCTAGCCTCATGGGGTCCCGAGATCATTCTGAATGCCAAATCCAGAAAAGGAGCTTGAGGGGGGAAAAAAGAGAGATGCAGGCATTCATCACTGAAAACTATGCCAATTCTTAACTACAGAAGGAAAGATCTTCATAGTATTTTGTTTAAGGCTTTCAATTTATTTAAACAAAAGAAGAAAGCATATATGATCAAACTCTCATGAAATTATTTACCAGTTTTCTTTCATTTAACTGGAAAATATGGGGTGATTTTTCTGAAGATAGATTCACAACAGATTCCTTAAAAGAGCAACCTGTCTTGAAGTTTAAAATATTTCCATTTGCCAAAAAAAAACTCATTTTCATATTTGAGTGAGGAATACATTGAAAGATGGGCCCTCCAAATGTCAGAGACTTACTTAACAGCAAACGTTCTTTCAGAAAAGAAAGTCTTAATGGGTATCACCCTTAGTAGCCACAATAAAAGTTTCAAATTCCTTCATGCGTTAAAGACTGACAAAAGAACTCACAGTGAAGGTGAGAACCAACTGAGGGGTTCACCCACCAGTGAATAAGGTGATTAGAAAACCCAGAAGTTCAAGTGTAGAGTGCCTACTGAGCTGGGCTTTGAGCTGAGACAAAGGACCCAGAAGTAGGATTTTATTAAAATAACTCTTGAGAACATCTGCCCACTTAACTGAGCCTTGTCTCCATAGGAAAATAAGTTTGTAGGAGGTATCTATTTTATCCTGTTACAAATACCGTAATATACTCGAGATGAGAAAGTGTCTTGTCACTTCTATTTTTGAAATAAAATTCTTTAGAAAGCCCCATGCCTCCCTGACTTAGGAAAATACAAAACATGCCTGTCTTCAAGCTGCCAACCTGTAATGAATTTCTAGTTTTATGCAGAAAGGAAAAAAATTAAAAAAAAAAAAAAAACAGAGAAGCTCTGGTTTTGTGGTAGTGACTAGTGTTTTCTGTATTGTTTTCTAGGTGAAAACGTAATGGGACCAATTAGCTATCTTGCTCCTGGTGCATTTTCTGTACTTTCTGTTCAATAAAATAGATGGAGATTTTTTTCTATCCCTTGTCCCAATTAAGTATTACTCCATGAAATCAAACACAAGATGTATTCATGTAGCTATTTCTATAAACCTACACCAAAGAGGGCTCAGTTCTCAGGAGTTGGTCTTTCATTTTTTGACCTCGTTTAGTTGCATTTACAGAGTTAAGGCTTTTCTAAAGAAAAGTGTATTTTTACACTGAAGCTACAGGCAGAAAGATGAAAAACACATCTTCCTAGAATATACACTGTCTTAAAAATGGAAACAATCACAAAAATATGCTGAGATTTTCAGATACTTTAGCTGTTTTGCTCTTAATGTTGTCCTTGGCAAATTAAGATTAAAGAAAGATTTATTAACTTTAAGCCATTGGTTAACTTTAAAGATAGTCGGGGATTGGGGTGGGGAGAGGAAGACCAATGCATTTTTACTTATTATTTCAAGAAAAGCCATTTTACCCTGACCCACGTATCATGCAAAAAAGCAGTCCTGAGAATACGATTTTTTTGTTAAAGGAACCTTTGTAACAAGGTATTGTTATTTTCACAGAGTCCTGAGTGAGGCTATGGATAAATAGGTATAGAACCATCTTCTGGGTTCTAGGTTGGTCTCCTCCACAAAGCAAGCTCACACAAGTACAATCCTGCCCAGCCATGACCTACCCATAAGGCAGAGTTTCTTGACCTTAGCACATTAGAGGCTGGACAATTCTTGATTGTAGGGGTATATACTGCACCTTGTATCCCAAGCCTCTCCCCACTAGATACCTGTAGCACCTTCCCCCCCACCAGTTTAACAACCCAAAGCAACTCCAGACATCATCAAATATCCCTATGCTGGCCCAAATCACCCCTGATTAAGCAACACTAATCTATGGTCATGTCCACTGGGAGATGTACTCAGCCCTAAAGGAGAGACTGAGCTAGCTGAGCAGACCTCATCATCCTTAATACGTGGCAAACACGATGCCACCCTATCCCTTCTCTTCCCTCTTGGAGCCTCCACTGAGGGCAATCCCACAAAGTGAGAACGTGTACCTTTTCTTACTGGCATACTCTCCTTCATCCACTCTCCTTGAATACAAATTCCCAGAATGCAGGAACTACATCCTACAATCTGAGTTGACAAAGTCCCAAAGAGCAAAGGCTCCGTTTCCATCTCCAGCCTTCCCTTCCACCACTTCAGAGCTCAAAGAAATACTTCTCATTCCCACGGTTGCCCCTCACTGGCACACCCTTTACCCTGCTGTGCCACTTAGTTCCCTCGTGCCTGGTAAAACCAGACCCACTGCTTCTCATGGGACACCATCCTGGACCGCTTCTCTGCTGTTTCCCAGGACCTTCATTTCCTCGATTTCGTTGGAGAAAGCAAGACCTGAGT